TTAAAATCATGATTCTGTGAAATCCTTTGGGGTCTGTACCAAACAAACATGTTTTCTTACATTTAAAGAACAACATTTATAGGCCAGAGCATCTCTGCAGCACAACAGTACTTCATTATAATGCTGTTTTGCTTCATCAGTAATATTACAATACAGCCATTCTGTACATTGAGTTCTTTTATTTTTACTTAAAGGATTTGAGTACTTCTTTCCCCACTGGTCAAGATGCAAAAGTGGCCTTATTTAGTGTGATTATGGGCAGCTATGCAGAGTCCAGTATTCAAAAGGTCTACTTTTGTAATCCAACCTCATCTTGAGTAATATTTTAGTCAAGTACCAGTTCTTAACAACAAAGTAAAAGTTAAGCTGAGTTTCTGCAGAAGAAAGGATTACATTATAGTTGCTGCGACACTGAGACAATAAAAAGATTCCAACCAGCCATATTTTGTGTAAAATCAATCATCAGCTGAGTAAAACCACACAATTCTGTTTTCATTGGTTGAGTGAGATACTGACAGGAAAATGCACAGACAGGCTTTTGTTTGTGAATAACTGTTACCTTCTGCCCTTCATGGTAACAATATCCTTGGCTGATGATAAGTTAATGGCGGTGTTTGTTTGGTGTGTGCAGGCAGGCTGTGGTACAATGGGGAGGCTCAGAGGCCCTCTGAACTTAAGCTTAACCTCCATGTGTGATCTGTAGGCGAGACACTGGTACCACTGCACATGTGAGTGTCTACAGCGAGGCTGAAGAATCCAACTGGTTTGGATGTTTGAAAGAACAAAAACGGGAAGTTGGAGTGAAAAACTCTTCGGGGAACGATGGTCACTCAGGTGGTTTGTGTTGTTCATTATTATTTCCTGCATAAAGATATGGAATGCAAATATTGGTCATTGTATTGAAAGCAGGGGACTTTGCATCTTGTTGCTATGGCAGTTAGATAATGTTCAGACAGTGCTCAAAATATATGGCATTTTATTTGAGCTACAAAGGGAATTATACTTTACATTTAAGAAGAGCACTGATCGTAGAAGCTATTGCTGTAAGTGTTGCATAGTTTAAAGCAGCGTAATCTTAGACCTGTTAGAACTTTTCACTGGATTATGTCATAGTCAGACACTGGTGATTAAGAGTCATTCACTCCTAGCAATTTGATTAATTTTCCATTTTACATGCAGTTTTATAATGTGTCATGTCTATTGGGAATACCAGACATCAGTGTAACACTGGTAGAGACCCACATCCTGTCTCATGGACCGTCATGGAGAAATTATTTGTCTAACATGGCCTCACCTGCGTTCACTGAGGGTGTGGCAGCACATGTGACTCACTCATATCAACCATCAAAGCGAGGGATTCGGCTCAGCTTTGAAGGAACGCCACCTCGGGTAATCCTCTGGGAGACTGGAGGACACCGTAGGGCCACAGACGTTTCCCTCAAAAGCTTAGACTGTCACATGATTACAAGGCCTTTGATTTGGATCAGGTGTTCCCTCATTAAGGCTGGTTTTATTGATGCTTTGGTTCTATCCAAACCTGTAGAAACAATATTTCACCCCTTTTGTTGCAAAACTGTCTTCTATTGATACTTTCATAAACATGAACTTTCAGTCTAGACTAAAATATTTCTTTAGGTGGGATTCCTGTCAGATGTTTTTCTGGATCTAGTGAGGGATTAGTATTAAATTTAATACAAAATTGTGAATGTTGAGTTAGATTTGGATTGTTTTGCAACACTTTTCGAGGTCTGCAACTGATGATTATTTTCACTATTGCTTGTTTATTTTTACTTTTTGGATGAATTAGTTAATTCAGAGATGTACTCTGTTTGTATTCTGTTGTGTATTCTAGTCTGAAGATAAAAAATGTCCCTAACCCACAGCTTCAGATTAACTGTTTTCTCAGAGCAACAGCCAATAACCTAAAGATATTCAGTTTGGAGCTGCAACTAACAGTTATGTTCATTATCAACTATACTGCCAAATATTTCTCCCTATTATTTAATTAAAGCTCAGTGTGAAACATTTCAGAGGATCTATTGGGCTGCCATGTTTCTACAATAGCCCAGAAGGGACAAACCAAACACTGGCTCTAGACGGGGGTGTTCGTTTTTTATGTGCATCCCAAGGCCGCCATAGTTTCTCTTTCGTGCTTAGAAATGGAGGGTGAGTTGTGATCTGCAATTACACTGTGAGATGCCACTAAATCCTACACACTGGACCTGTAATTGTTTGGCCTTTTAATTTTTATAAATAGTGAAAAATCACAGTTCACAAATCTGTGAAAAATCACAGTTTCCCAGAGTCCAAGGTGTCTGGTTTTACTCTGATATAAAATAGAGAAAAGAAAGCTTTAAAAAACAGACTTGAGTAATCCACACTTTTTTTTTACATTTTACATTATACTTTTGCATTTTGTCAAGTGTCCATTTCACATGGAGCGTCCAGAGAAAGACGAGTACCTTTATTGATGTCATGCTGCATCCTTGAGGAACATGAAGATATACTGCTGTGTCAGTTTGGTGATAGTGTACAGTGATAGATCGTTACATAGCCACAGTCACCTTCAAACAGTAATCAGGAGGGTCTCCAGGGTGGATCCTCAGTGAAACCCACTGGGTGCTCTCTGTGGCCAGCTATGACTCCCAGCTAGTGCATGTCACTTTATCGCAAAGAAAATACTACGCCTTGATAGCAGTGAAACTCTGAATGTTTTATTGATAAGAGAATCGGCTGCTCCTTTTGCAGCAGGGCAGCAGAGTGTATTTACTGTATTATATTGTTGATCGGTTGTTTAAAATTCCTGCACTGGCTCATGTGATTTCCAAATAAATGGAGCACAGCCTGGTTTCTACTGTGCTTCCCTCTCTGTGCTACAGGATCCATGACCCATATCCATTACAGGACAAGGTATCACTTGTACAAAGTGAAGATGAAGAGAGAAATAAGTCCTGTGTGACCTCAGCCAGTGTGCGTGCATGTAGAAAGGCGTGTGCACACATATTTGTAATCGGTCTTGTGTGTTTGCAATCAGTAATTCAGCTACTCAGAGTACTTTACCTGTGGTAGTGCAGCGTCAGCAGTCTGAGTCCCCAACCCCCCCAAATACACACACACACACACACACACACACACACACACACACACACACACACACACAACACACACACACACACACATATTCACTGGCATTGACAGAGGCAGAGGGAACACTTCTCCTTTCCCCTCACTCTGCCTAGTTACACCAATTCCCCTCTGCATTCCTCACGCCAGTGCAGTCAGAGCGCATACACAGCCATGCTCATGCACACAAATATGTGTCCACACACACACACACACACACACACACACACACACACACACATTATTCTGACGGTGTGCTGCTGGAGAGGCAGGGCTCTAGTTTCATTCAGGCTTAAGGCAGCTGCGAGGTTAGAGTCTTGTGTTTGCGTGCGGTGGCTACTGGGCGCTTGACAACAAAGATATCATCTCGGGTGAGTCGCTCCAAGGCAATAACTGAAGATAAAGCAGCCTTTTTGTGGCTGAAATCTGGACTGGGGTCAAAAAGAGAAGGGGACTAAAGGCAGTGGGTTCATTGTGCTGGCTTATGTTTTTCATTTTCAAATGTGGTAGTGTGCAGGAGAGCATTTCTCTTTACTTCTTTGGGTTCTTAGGACAAACCCATGTGTCTTAAGGTGGTATTTGGTGGTGTTTTGTGCATTTCTGTGCTACTTTAGCCCCTCAGACACCATGAAACCTTCTGAAATGATGTCTGTCAAAGTCTTCAGTGCAAAACTCTTTGCTTATGTTGAATAAAAGCCATTTACTGAAACTTAAAGGCACTTTGTGCTCCCGGCTTTATTGAGCAGTGAATAAAGGTTCACCCTTTACATTTAATTTAATTAAAAATCCATGTACATGCTGTTAGTGGAGGCAGTTTCTCTTGGCTATTCTAAGTCAGTGTATTTGGTGTAATTTATGACATGTGAGTATTTAATATATTTGTGGAGTAAGTGGCCAAAAGCTTCTCAGAAGAATGCATTCCTAATCAGCACTCTCCTTATGAGAGGGAATTAAAGGAGATTAGGAACCGCACAAAGGGATGGAGACCACTGCCGATTGGGTGTAAGGGGTCATTCTTGATGGGGGTTGTATTTCTGCCCAGTTCATTCAAAATTCTTACTCTGGTGTAGTGCCATGCCTTTGTTCCTTCCCATTAGCAGGGGTTTGACTTTAGTCCATTTTCTCTTGCCTCATTTCACAGAGTTTAGCCCTTTCAGTGTGGAGCACGGTGACTTTTAGCTGAGATGAAAATTCCTTTTGTCCCTCAGGAAACTAGCTGAGAGGAAGCAGCTGCGGCTTGCTGCCATATTGCTGCTGTTCTGTGGATTTGTCGTTTCCTGTGGAGCTGGTCGGTATGAGTGGGAATAGTCCAACTTCTACACTAGACCTGACTGTGTTTCTCTCTCAACAGAAAAACAAAATGAAGACATGGAGATGACATTTTTGACTCTGGATCATTGTTTCACAGTTGGAATGGATTTAAGGTTTGGACATGCAGATATGGACTTATGAAATATAGAGACACACTTTTTAAGGCGATAAGAGGACGCAGATCTTTTCCAGAGACAAAGAAATTTGGACTGACCTCCCTCAGCCAATGGCTACAACCGAAACCAAAGTCGCAGGCAGCAGTTGCACTGCAGGTCTGTCGTGGGCGCGGGTTTGTAAGGAGTGTGGCCAGCAGCATGATGGCCCGGAAAGCCACCTGTATGAGTACCAGGATGATGTGGACGATGAACTTGTTTGCCACATCTGTCTGCAGCCCCTCCTCAGACCTATGGACACCCCTTGTGGTCACACCTATTGCTTTCATTGTCTGAGCAACTTCTTGAAAGAGCAGGACTTCTGCCCAGTGGACCGCCAGCGGCTGCAGCTGCACCAGTGCCGTCCCTCCAGCCTGCTGGTCAGGAACCTGCTGGACAAACTGACTGTGATGTGCCCCCACAATGCAGAGTGTCAGCAGAAGATGCAGCGCTGTGAACTGCAGCCTCACCTGCACAACAGGTAAGAGTCTGGATGGTACGCTGACTGGCTGTGACAACAGAACGAGTATAAATTGTTAGACTGTTAGGTGGTTAAAATCATTGTGTTAGATGGGAATGCTCACAACACCATGAACATCCATACAATATAACATAATCCTGTACAGTAGTTTTCAAGTATGACTTTTTGACCCTGTCTGAGGCAGACCTCACCTTAAGCAGAAGAGTTGTGTTTATTATACTGCAGCCGGGGAAAGCCATACATAGTACAATGCAAAGAATATCACTGGCAACAAAATGTTTCACACAGAATATAAAGGACGACCTAAGAGAGAGGGAGACAGTACATCAGTATAGTTAGAGTGCTGATTTGTCAAGAGGCACAGGGGCTTTCAGCAGGGATTCAGGGGATTTGAGGCACGGGTTCAAATTGTGACCAAGGCTTATAAGGCATATCGGGGAGAATACATCAGAAGAGTTGTATATCACAGTGAATAGTATTATTGTACAAGGCAGTGGGCATATAAACAGAGCAGTGAACACAGGATAATCATTTATAGCAAGAGAGCACTGTATTAAATATCAGATTTATATTTTCCTTCACAAGTTTTTATAGTGGTGGTGATTTGATGTTTCTTTATGCCATATTGATGTTTGTCTCTGGTGCTCTAAGGTGTTGAACCAAGCCTTCCTAGTGTCCACTGAAAACAAACCCCACTAACCGGTCATTAAAGGAATAGTTCAACATTTTTGGAAATTCTTTTCGAGAGTTAAATGAGAAGATTGATACAGTACCACTCTCATATCTGTCTAGGCTTGGCTTTGTCCAAGGTAACAAAATCTGACTACCGGCATCTCTTAAGTTCACTAGTTAACATGTTACATCTGGTTTGTTTATTCAGTACAAAATTGTAAAAAATATTCATATTTAAAAAAGCAAATACACGTATTTCCAAAAATGTCTAGGTATTTCTTAAAGTGGATGTATTATATTGTAAGGCATCTCAAGGCCTGCACGCATTCCCACTGGAAGGTAATCATAAGATCTGAAGTTTGTGAAAAAAGAATTCTGATTACTTTTCAGGAATGTAAAATAACTGTTATCAAAATTGTTTATTCCTCCTCTACATGCCCTTCCAAAGATAATTTTCCTCCTTTTCAAGTTGTACCTGTGTCTATTCCTGGTAGCACAGGTCCTCTTTGAACACACAAACTTGTAATTATTGAGCTCAAGGCGAGGTTTAGGTCAGCAGTCCTGTTTTTCCACATGGCCGGTGTGGTGCTTATCATCCTGGTGGCCAGCCATGACGCAGTCAGCTGTGGGTGGCAGATTGTCCTACTGCAGCCTCTCTGTGCAAACAATAAGGAGACAAAGTTCAGGCATGAAGAACAAGCAGCAGTCCCAGCACTCTGACTGACTTAATCAGACTCAACCTGTCTCACTCCACACTACTACACACCCTGCAATGCAGTGAAATTGTCTACTCATCTGCATAGTGCTTCTCCTCTCTTGCATAAATACACTATTGTCTCCTCTTTTCCCTTTCAAAACACTTCTAACATCCATTTGCTTTCTCTATTTCTGTATTCATCCATACCTGGCACTCCTTTGTAACCCGAAACCTTTCCATTTCATCATCAAGGATTGTTTTTGAAAGAGTAGGCTGGTCAGTCATCAGCCACATCATTCCCCTTACTAGTTTCCTCCCTGTTCCTGTCTGTCCTCAGATGTCCTGTTTTTAGAAGACTGAGGGAGGAAGCAGAGAAGAGGAAGAGGCCCTCGTGGAACGAGCTAAAGGGACGTAAGGGTGACGGGGAGTCGTCCGGTGAAGCTAAACATTCAGCGACTCTGACCCGAAATCCTACCCGAGATCAGCCTGAGCCCGGGCTGATTAATCCTGCCTATGAAGAAAGTGAGGATGGTATGGAGTCATTTTATCATTCTAACAACCACCATTATATCAGCGATTCAGTCCCACGAGTCTGTTTAATGTACAATCAGCACAGCAGAAATACAGTGACTTTCGGGTTTCTTTGTACCCACATAGACAGAAACATGATAATTATAATCACCACTTCTTAGGAAATGTGTTGTAGTAGGAGGTCGGTCTTACTGGCAGTGACACTGAGTAATGTTTATGTTTCTTGTAGCTTCTAGGCTAAACAGAAAAAGTTTCATGAGGTGATTGCAGAAAACCTAAACCCTCGTGCCTCTTCACCCCCCCGGTTCTCAAAACACGCAGACACGAATTTCCAATGTTTTTAGCCTGAAGGTTTTGATGCTGTCACAAGTGAATCATCCGTCAAGTCGTAGGAACGTACTAGCTCACAGATGTTTTAACCAGACAGTCTCATTTCAGGGAAAAACCCCGAAGGAAACTTGTAAGCCAGTGCCATGGACCAAAGTCCACTAAAACATAGTTGCCAGGCAACTGGTAATCACTATCTACAGAGAGGTTTGAATTGTTGTCATTGTAGTCTCTGTTGTAATCAAATTACCGCTCTATGCTCATAAAATCCCATTTATATTTACAATTAAGTTTTGTATTTATTGATTGCTGAAATAATATTGTTTTAAGCATTAATATGTCAGCATGTTGACTCATCTGTAGTCTGTTGTCTGCTGAAATCATGCCCTTGTAGTGCTCATGGGACTAATTAGCTGTGGCATGTAAATACTTGTATGGGTTGTGTGTGTCCACACAGATCAGAGAGTCTCTGTTCGATGAGCTAGAACGTGTTATTTTATTGGGACGACTCTTCCTTCAGTGTGTTTCTGATCTATGCTACTGTTTGCTGTGTACTGTAAAAACAAACGTCCGCAAAAGTTCAAAGACAGGTTATTGTTTGACACAGTATTATGTAACTTTATGCATGTCTCTACTTGTAAAGGTTTACTCCAGAATTTTGGTTTCTTGCTGTTTTTCTGTGAGTTTAGATGAGGAGATCAACATATATCTCAATGCATTCGGTAAGGAGACCTGTACAAGATATTCTCAATTTATCTTAGCACAAACAACGTAACAAAACATTTCAGAGTATTGCTTTAACTTGCTGCATGTACATTTTTCCTGGCTGTCATTTCTACAGAGTATAGAAACACTGTACTCACTTAAAGGTCCAGTGTGCAGGATTTAGTGCCATCTAGCGCTATAGTAGCAGATTGCCATTCCCTTTGTTCACTTCAAAGCACAATGCATAACGCGCAAAAATGCAAATGGCCGTATCTACAGCCAGTGTTTGGTTTGTCCTTTCTGGGCTACTGTAAAAACATGGTGGTGCAACATGGTGGCCTCCATGGGAGGTGACATATGGTTTCAATAGATGAAAAAAGACTTTTCTAAGGTAACTAAAACATAACAGTTCTTATTTTTAGATGATTATACCCTAATGAAAACATACCTATGGATATTATATTCTATTTCTACCAATAGATCCTCCTACATTTTACACACTTGACCTTTAAGTAAAGAGTTCTGGGTACGTATCTGGTGACATCACTAGAATAGGTCAGAAACACATGTTGTAACCAGTAACAGTAGCTGGATGATATAAACCTCTTTATTTGGTTGGTGAAAGCGAAAGTGAGGACATGTGAAATAAAATAATCCCTCATTGAACAATAAAATACTGGGTATGTACAAGAGTAAGTATATTAGAACAACGTTGGACCAGGAAGTCTGTAAACTATGATGGATAAGGCAACAAATGGGCTGTTAGATTGCTTTTTTGTTCATCCTGCTTTTCCTCCGTTTCTAAGAGCACCTCATACATCTAGGGTTGAGTGTTTAGAACAACAAGTCATCTCCCTTAAACTGTGATGCATTGTTGTTGATTTAAGAAATAATTGTGTCTGTTTGACTCAGCTAACCGAAGGGTTTGTTTTAAACCTGTATGATTGTCTGAGTGCTTGTGTTTCTTGCCCTGTTGGACCACTGTTTGCTCGCACATTGATTATACTTTATTATCATATGGTGCAACTCAGTCATCAAGAGCTGAGGAGTGCGAGTCATTTTCTTCATAAACAGGAAATATATCCATATTCGTTCCACTGTTCCTCTCCCCTCTAGACAACACCCCCCTGCGGTCCAGTCTGGTGGCCGAGGCCAATGTTGTGGAGCTGTTCAGAGAGGAGCCGGAGGAGGAGCTGGGCCTTCGCATCGTGGGGGGGAAAGACACACCGCTGGGGAACATAGTCATCCAAGAGATTGTCAGGGACTCGCTAGCAGCTCGTGATGGCAGACTGGCCCCAGGGGACCATATCTTAGAGGTGAGAAAGACTCATAAACTAAATGACAGTGTGTTGACATAATGTAGTCCATGATGTAAAATATGTATCTCTTCTTCAGTGTGAGAATTCAGAAGTATTCTTGTGGCATAGCAGGACACAGTCCAACATGTTTTTGCATAGACACTTAGTCGTTGCATTCTCATGGTTTTGTAAATGCGGTGCTTTGCGGCAGGGAAAGTAGATATTCGAGATAAACGGGTTTAAGCTCCATGGTAACAAGGCGTGGTTAATATTGCCGGGCCAAACACGTCATGTTAGTGTAAGCAACTTTACCTGGTTGATGTCACTGATTGACTTACCACCTTTCTGTTTGAGAGGGTCCATGTTCAAACACTAAAATATAATCGTTCCTTTATAAAGATTTTATAACACATATATACATTTATATATTATATAACCAGAGTTATTATAAAGCAATGTGATGGGTTATCTGCTACTAGTCATAATTTATTGTGCCACTAGAGGCTGCATGTAATGATTATTGTCATTATTGATGAATCTGTTGATTATTTTCATTTTGATCATTTGGTCTACAACATAGCAGAAAACAGTGTGATTACATTACAATACAATACCCAAGAGCCCAATGTGGCATTGTGGGATAAATTTGGACCAAATGTTTAATCTGACCAACAGTCCAAACTCAAAAAACCTCAGTTTTCTATAATGCAAGAACCTGGATTCATCAAATGTTTGGCACGTTTGCTTGAAAAATCACTTAAACAATGAATTGATTATCAAAACAGTAATTTTCTTTCAGTCGGCTAATGAACTGAACATTGCAACTCTAGTGCCACTTGTATGATATTCAAATTCTATACACATTTCACCATCTAAATATTAGACAGTCAGTGTCAATACTCAAGGAAATGTTATACGTATCATAAATACGTTTTAATATTTCTACTAATTTTGAGTAGGGTTTAGTGTTTTATTTGCAGTAACGCTTTCAGTTTGCACAGAGAAGAATGAAAGTGCAGAAATGGACTAATGGGAGATTTTACTAAGTTGTGGTTTGCTCTCTTCCAACAATGTCCTCCTTGGATTTCTACCCTCCGGTTCTCCTGGAACGTGGTACAGCTGTAAACCGAGCTTATAAAGTATTTTAGCCTCAGCTCTGTCCTCCGAAATGCAGCTTTTCCTCCAAAGCCAACCAATCCTGAACCTGGAACTGAAAACAAAACCTACCAGGCAACAGGCTGCCTTCAGGATGTGAAATATTAGCTGCAGTTTTTTTGGTCTTGTGGAAAGCTGGTGGATGTAAAGAGATACGGTGAAGACGAGTGAAGATTGCATCACTAAGAAACTCAATCTTTCCCTTCCCCTTGAACCAATGCACTGATTTTTGTGAAGGCAAATATCACTTTGACATGCTTATTTTAAAGAGAACAAAGGAGCTGATTATAACTTGTGATTAGTATTTGTTATATTCGGATCGGCCTGATGCAGGTAAAAGAAATCCAGATATGCCAGATTTCCTAAATTTAAACAGAGCGTTAAGTTTTGAGTCACTGCTCCACTTTGTAACTGATATCTTGCAGGAAAAGTAACATCATTAGATGATCTCTGCTTCACAAAAAACTTGTGTTTGGCTGCTCCTCCACTGACTGTGTTTTATTCTCTCTGTTGTCATGTCTCCAGGTGAATGACGTCAGTTTGGCTTCAGTCCCCCACACTCGGGCCATCGCAGTGCTGCGGCAGCCTTCCCTCCTCAGGCTCACTGTTATGCAGGAGAAAGGATTCAAATCAAGAGATCCACGGTCTGATCATCACCCTTCCTCTTCCACCACTTCCACTGCCTCCCAGCCTTCTCACAGTCCCCATGGCAACACTACCTCCAATCACAACCCTGGCACAGTCCTGCAGGTGACGCTAATGAAGAGTCAGCGCTCCGAACCGCTCGGCATCAAACTCATCCGCAAATCAGATGAGAGTGGGGTTTTCATCCTGGACCTGCTGTCTGGTGGTTTGGCAGCCAAAGACGGAAAACTGAGAAACAATGACAAAGTGTTGGCCATCAATGGACATGACCTGAGACATGGCACACCTGAGAGCGCTGCCCAGATCATACAGGTACATTAAAGGACCAAAGATAGGACAGGATTAACTACAAAATACACACACTCTACATTATCACTGACCTTTTTCTAAAGCATGCCACAAGTTTAAAGATTGACTTCTACTATTGGTTTGAGTTCATTTTGGCATGTTGAACATTTAAACCTTCATTTTAAAATTATGTTATTGTGTATGTTTTGGTTTTTTATCAAACCGAGGCAGAGAAACAAAGAAGACAAACAATGTGCAAACAACAACAGTCTGAAAAGGATAATGTGAATTATGTAGTTCAATCATAAAAGGGCTTTGTTCACTTCTTATTGGTCATCAGTTGTTAGGGTTTCCCACAAACACTTGAATGCAGCCACAAGGAGGACTCTGAG